ATCTTTTAAAATAGTTTTTAATAAAATACCATTTTAAAAGAGAAACTAGTCTGCGTTTAACCAAAAATTTGTTCTTTTTAATAATAAAAAGGGATTCGTGGTCGATTACGTTTGGGGAAGGATTAGCACCCCACAACGCCCAAAATTGATCCCTATCGATTATAAATTGTCTCTAATAATAGAATTTAAGAATTCAAATATAAATTTAATTTATGATCTTTTCATATTCAATTGGATAATAAGGAAAAATATTAAAATAATTTTTATAAATTATCGAGTGACATCATATTGATTTCAAGCTCTGCTAATTTGTTTTCGTACAACACATTCCTAAAGAACCTAAGAATCTCGACAATATGCATAACGTCGATAGACGGGGCAAAAAGGATGTCAACTAGCTGTTGAAGCATAACGAGTGGATAATGATCTAGGAGGATCGACGTGGACACATTCCCCCTAGGGAACCTATTTATATGGATCATTATTCGATTGTGGGTAACTATTATGAGTGGTTCAACATACTTTCCGAGGAAGCACGAGGCTAGAGAATTCATCGACGTCGAGAAAAATGTACACGGTCACAACAACATCATCCCCCGACTCGTGGATGGAGAGCATACATTTTCGGCTCGTCCTCAGCTGCAGCATTGGAACCATTATAACAACCACCGTTTACACTGATTTATATTCTCAGCCCGCCACTATTCATAGGGCGGATGAAATCGCAGTTGTTTCAGATGACACCGCAACCATTTCAGATGCCACCGCAACCATTTCAGATGCCACCACCGTAAGGTTTTATGACATCTCGTGGCATGCTTATAGATCCAGTGTGGGCTTCATATGCTGCTTATTTGGTGGGTGGTGATTCACCACATACACATACACCTTCAGCTCAATATAGATCACAGTCATCGATGTTGGTGTTTTTGTAGTTTTCATAATTTTCTATAAGCGGTGAGATGGTTAGTCATACACCTCCAGGGTCCATATTCTATAGAGATGCTACATCATCATCCGTCCCTCATCAACAAAAATGTAGTTGCTACTTCTACTGCTGCTAATGATGATGAGAGTGAGGAGGAAAAACAAGTTATACGAAGAAATCCTCATTGAAATAGATAACCGTCGCCCTGTGGAACACATTCAAGACGCAGACATCGATAAACTTGTTTAGTTTGTAATGTTTTTATCTATTTTTCTTTGTTTATCAGCAAATGTATTGAATTATGGACTTCTTATGTATTTTGTTTCTTAACTTTGTTATTATTTAATTGTTTGAATTGTAACATTTGTATTTAATGTTTCTAGTTAATTATTTTAATTGTTTTTACTATTTAGTTTGTAATGTTTTTATTTAATTTTCACTTGAGTATCCCATTACTTGTTGATGCTCAAATGACATTAATTGAAAGTAAACAAAAATGAAATAACATACACTAATATTTCAGAAACTACAATTACATTGTGATGTTCAACGGTTACGTGATGATAAAAGAGATGAACATTTTTTCTATTGTGGCATTTATGTGACACAAAATAATTCATGAGTTCGAGGGAAGCTTGTTACAGAAATTCCATTTGATGTAACAATCTTTTTTTATAGATCTGCAACTATATTTTTGGTGATAAACATGGTCGTTTTGCATCTAAGTTTGAGTTTGTCCCCCGAGCTTTGCAAAAAGCGCTCCTAAATGAAAATACATCATTTTAACTAAAGTTTTTACTGGTAAATGGTGTGCCCCCTTTAAGGTTGAATTGATAGCATCAACCAATTTGGTTGTCATATGTCCATATCGATATCCACCATCGTATGCATTTTTCCACATTTCTTTGTTAATGAGGATGATGTAATTGTATCATTGCTCGTTTTTTCTCGTAAATCTTGAAGTATGGACTCAAACGTTTGAGGTAATAATTCGTATCATGCGCATCAAATGTAGAACTTACTGTTAAATTCCCATAAAAAATGAAAATGATTGAGAAATGAAATTAGACATTATGACATACTCATACGCACAAGTAATTAGCGTTCATCATTCTTCTTAAATTTTTCATGATAGTTCGCGATAATATGTCGGATTCAATATCGATGTTGGACATGGGGCGGTTGTGACATTGGACCCAAAAAGTTAATTTCTACTTTGATCTTAGCTTCGTGGTCTGAAATGATACATATTTTTCCCTTGTGGCAACATGTAAGTGTAAGTTTCTAAGGAAAAAAACACCAAGAATTTGTATCTTCACCTTCAACAAGGGCAAAAGCAACTGGAAGAATGTTGCAATTACCATATTAGACAACTGCCAATAGTAAAACTTTCTTGTATTTTCCACACATGAATGTCTCATCAATTTAGACCACGGGCTTACAATATTTCATAACATTAGTGCGCTGTGTGTAAGTTAAAAAAAACTGATAGAATTGACATCGATCGTGAAGCACTTGATCATTGTAGTATGTATGACAAGTTTCAAAATCGACTATTGTCCCAGGATTCAGTCTGCACACTACCCTAAACCAACTTGGTAGTTCATTGTAAGATGAATCCCACTCACCTTGAAGTTTTTTAATGGCATTTTGCTTTGCCTTATGTGCTTTTCTGTAGGAGATGATGTACCCATATTAAAACTTTATAGTTGAAATCAGCACCACAATAGCTATATGGGAGCTTGCTTTGACCATGGGCATGATGTCTTAGTAGATAATGTCAGATTCCAAGTTGGGGTGGTCCTAGTTGATCCCTCTAGAACAACATGTATGAGGACCGTTGTATATTGTTAGTTCCCATATGTTGTTTTTCCTCTTCTTATTTGAAACATGAACCATCCAGTTACATCTATTAACACGTTGGATACAGTGGCAACCATACGTTTCAGTGGTAGATTGATCGACTCTAGAGTGAACATAATTACGAATGTTGTAATTCTTAATTGCAATCATCGCGTCTTCTTTGGATGAAAACTCTATTCCGATATATAACTCACCATTATTGACTGATAAGTTAAATTTATAGTCACTAACATTAGGTATATACGTAAATTATAACTCGTACATTGTATCATAGTCAGTTTCATACATGTGTGTTGGAGGTTCGGTGTGTACTATATTCGTGGGAAATTCATCTACATCATTATCATCGGAGTCCATGTTGAACTGCGGTGGTTTTGGCTTAATGAATAGTCCAGTCTCAACACCATTTGCACCTGGCTCACGAAGAGGTTCTTCTGGTGGAGATGAGGGTTACTCTGTGATGCCAATATTTAGATCGAACAAGCTGGTAGTTGAATGTTTTCCCTTTGAACTTGAAGGTATCATGTCATACGAGTTTTGAACTAGGTGTTGTGTTGTAAGCATCTCCATATTAAGGTCAAAGAAATTCTTATATGAATATCTTCCCCTTGAACTAGAAATGATGTTGCCATATTGATTGTTCGTGTACCCATCTCAGTAGAGTTCATAACAAGTTGCTGATGAATGTCTCCCCATTGAACTTGATTGGATGGTATCAGGATTTGGATGTCCCATTAATGAGTTAAAATATTACACATTACTTGAGTTGGGCTGTCAACTTGATCAACTTGTTGAGCCAACTCATAGTGGGAGCATAATGACATACCATGAACCGCAGACACTTCAACAAATGTGGCATACATTTGTGTAACAATGTCTGAATTTTGAATCTCAGCATCAACCATCATAACAACATCATCATCGTTGGAGAGTTCGAACACTGTATAAGTTAACAGAAATAGTGTAGTTGGAAATATGTACTGAAGTGAGGACAATCTTCTAGTACTTCCAACATTAACGTTCCTTGAAATTTTAGTAATCATCTCCTCAATAGTGATGTTTCTCTTGAAGGATAATGTGAAAAAATAATTTGATGCGAAGATAACGCCGGTTTCATCTTCCCGAATTTTTCTATCATAATAAATAATAGCTGAAATACGCCTTATTTTGAGAGTTTGAAAGATTGAAAGTCTTATATATACAGAAATGAATAATTGTTTCTAATATACGATCATTCTCCTAATTAAATAAATAGAATATGAATTGAAATATAAACTAACACTAAAAAAATTAAAAAAAATTCACAATAATTTAAATAACTCAATTTAATATTGTTACCGTATTGACAAAATATCTCGAGATACGATCCCACATTCCATTTTACAACCGTAGAAAAAAATTAATACAATAAAATTTGATCAAATAAATTAAATATGAAATAAATATAATATAATAAAAAAATTTACCTTATAAAAACTGCAACAAAATCTACTTGATAGAAGGAATGTATAAAAGGAAGAATGTGAATATAATTTTGGTGTGGTTTGATATTTGGATTTTGGGTATTTATAGGGGAGGTGGATGGGTCGTACGAGATTTAAGGCAGCTGCGGTAATAATAGAACGAACAATAATTGAGGGGGAATAATCGAATGTCACTCTTCATGATCCATGCCTTCCTGGCGTGTCAGAAAACCCCGCGAAGGCGTGGATTACATTCCACGTTTTTCCACCATGACGGTAGCTTGGACAAAACCCCAGGAAGGCGCACTTCATGATCCGCGCATTCCGTTCATCTCTGTAAGGTGCGTATCCTGAAACTCACTTTATTATCACTCTGTCAGAATGGATGCTAGATTGATAATATTTGAAGAAAGGGTGTCTGGCATGTAATTATTGATTATTTCAGTGATTTTTGAGTAAAAATGCCTGAATCGGTGCTATTCTCTACGTACACAGAGGCCCAGTAATAATTTCAAGTAGACCCCAAGCAAGAATCTCTTTAGAAAAACGGGCAAATTGGGTACCGTATTGAAAAAGCAACAACATGGTATTTTCCTCGTCCTAATCCTGCACTGTGGAACTCAATTGGCCGCTACTATAAATTCAGACCTCCCATTAATCTCCCATTTCACCATTTAAAACCAGTAAGAAAGATAACAAAATTCTCGACAGATAAACCTCTGATCAGCATCTAGAAAGAGAGAGAGATGAGGCCAGCAAGCAACTCGACGGCAGCGGCTACAGGAGCGGTGTTCCGGCACTGGAACTCTCCCATTCCATACCTGTTCGGTGGAATAGCGGCGATGCTAGGACTCATTGCGATAGCGTTAGTCATTCTTGCTTGTTCATGGAAGGAATCGTCCACGCATGGCGATGAAGCTGAAGAAAAGCCATCCAAGCAAGGGGTGGCCGCCATGCAACTTGAAATGGAGCCCAAAATTGTTGTGATCATGGCCGGTGACGAAAACCCTACGTACATCGCCAACCCAATTCGCCATGTTGAACAACAAGCTTGAGAGCTCTCGATTGATTACTAAAGGAGCTAACAACTTTACACTAAATCTTCCAATCTTTTCTTTCTCTTTTCGGTTGCCATTTTCACGTCCAGATGGATGTAATTTTGCAGAAATATGTAAATGCTAGAAGAGTGTATTGAAGATTTTTTTTAATAATTATCCGTATTTAATTTTTAAATAATTAATTTATATCGAGGACCACAAAGTTTGAAAAAGGAAAATGCAATATTCCGATTAATGGCGTTAGGCTGGGTAAAAGAGGCAAAGGGTTTGGTTATTGGTTTGGGGAGGGCCACTAGCCTGATGAAGCAAAGTAGATTCTGTTGAGAATTTGTAGAGTATTTTGGGGTTTGTCAATTTGAAGTTACTTTAGAATATCATTGCTTGTTTTATGTACTCTAAACTTCCCGAATCCAGTTGAATTGGCCTTAAATGAAAAGGGAAAAAGTTAATTATAAGTTTTCTATTTAAAGAATAGAATAACTTTATTAATGAATAATGTATAAAAGATTTAAGCTTGAAGTCTAGTTTAATTTGTTCTAAAAAGTGACATCTAGGAGCTGTATTGCTAATGATTTTCCTTTAATTTAAAGCTTACTTTAGATAATCATTATTTGAGGTCTTCCATCTTTGATTTTAGAATTTTTAGAGATTCATTTGAATCCAACCCTTTAAATCCACGTGAATAAACTGGTCAAGTAAATCCGGCTTAATAATCGCACTCCAAGCAGTAGTGGATCAAGAAATATGTTTGAGGGTGGTCACACACATATTAATTGTTAAAACTTTTTGTATGAAATTACAAATAAAATTTTTGGGTGGATACTATAATAAACTGAACAACTAATATAAAGAAATTTGAATTTCAAAATGAACACGTTCCCACCGTAAATATGCTCTGCATCCGCCACTGACTCCAAATCATACCACAACGTACTAGCATCAAACCATATGCCCCCGAACTCTATCCCTATTTGTCAAAAGACACCCCATACAAATTAACCATAAGGGTGCGTTTGGTTCACAGAATGTAAGATTACCAGTGGGAATAAAAGATTACCAGGGAATAGGATTACTGGGAATGTTGTATTTTGTGTTTGGTTGCTTTAGCAGGAATGTAAGATTACCGTGTTTGGTTAAAGGAATAAAAGATTATTGGAATGTATATTTGACCAAATTGTCCTTATTATATATTGTATAATATTACAAATTGTAAAATATTTATATATTTTCTTTAAAAAATTAAATTCATAATATTTATATAATTTTTTTTACAAAATTAAAAACATAAAAAAGGTTTAATGAAAGGGTACATTTTTTTAACCCCTAAACTTCATATAAAATTTTAATTATAGATTTTTTTTTGTAAATCTAAAATAATTTAAGATAAATTTGTAATTTAACCTTCGTAGAATTTTTATTATTCAATGACAGAAGAATGATATTTTTGAAAAAAAATAATAATTTAAGGGCATTTTAGTCCAAAACACCAGTAATGTTACAATACCTAAGGGAAGGGAGGTAATGACATTCCCGGTAATATACCTCAAAAAATCTACTATTGGTAATAAAACATTACGGGGAATGAGATTCCCGACCAACCAAACATGGGAATGTGGGATTCTCATCCCATGAGAATTCCATAATCCTTGAACCAAACACCTCCTAATAGTATTCTCACTCGAGGCAATCCACGATACCCATACTACTCCCCACAAGTGTGACTTTGCTTTGCTTTGATAAGATGGTGTCCTAACTCACATGATGTTATCTCGTTGACTATTTGTGATAGCTTCATAAAATTTATATTCATTCAATTAATCTAATTTTAAATTTAAATTTGTATTCGTAATTTCTCAAAGAAGTCATATTGATTTGTTATTTTAGTAATATTATCGATTTTGTATATCTTAGGATGTTTTCACATTCCCCACGCATAATATATTCTCCTACCTTTTCTTCGTATACTGTCAAAAGGCAAACTTCGCTAACGAGTGTTGACATAGGTAGTTGATATTCAGGAATTTGATATTGTAAGGCCAAGTTCGAATCCTACTACCGTCACTCTTGGTGAACAATCTGTAAAATCCTATGTAAATCCCAATTGGATCTTAGGTATGTCTTGGCCGTGGGCTGGGAGAACGATTTTGACCTAAACTTTTTGTAATAAAAAAAAAAAGCAAACTTCCAAAATTATATTTTTAAAATTTTCTCAAAAAATAATTTTATATGTATTCTATTATATTTGATAACACCCGATTATGATTTTATTTTATCAAATCGTACAGATTTTCAAGAAAAATATTCTCGATCATAGAAACAATTTCGGCACATCTTTCCTATATACGTAATTAGATAATTAGTCGATTAATTATTTACTCTGTGAATCATTAGCTAACCCATAATTGTTGTTGCTGAGATGGTAATGGATTTGGTTGAAAGACGTGGTGGCTCGAAAATGTAGTGTTTGAGCAGCTAATGTCAACATTGGAGGACTTGAAAGACTAAGTGAAAAGAGGGCTGTTGTTTTCTCAACACCGTCAAATCGATACAAAGGAAAGTGCAATTACACATCACCTTTTGTTCAGTGGAGACATTTGAAATGATAGTTTCCACCGGAAAACAAATTTGCTGACCTATTCTGTTGTGTCCCTTACTGGATTTTATTGGATTGTTTTGTCTAATCGGCTTCTTTGGATCGTCAAATTATTGCAATTCCAAGTTAAAATTGCAAGAATTTGCTGCAATTTGGACGGTCACCATGAGAGAAGCGGATTTCGATATAAGACAGCCAGTTAAATGCGTCACCTACATAATTTAGTAAACTCAAAACAGTGAGCATTAAAGCTTGAAAGGAAAACGAGGAGTGGATTTAGTGGGAGACAGTAAAATGAAGTAAAGGAAACAAAGTGGTAGTGGCCCATTTCTCTTTATCATAATAAACAAGATATGGTTTCGGTTCCCATATGTGAATACATAAGTCCCTTGATTGATTATGTGACAAAACAATATTCTTTTGCTCAAATTCCATTCGTTACAGAACTAATACAATTTTAAAGGCTATTAATTCAATTATAATATTGTTTTTATTGAAATAATCTATCAATTCAATAATTTGTAAACGAAACTCAATTTATCTGAAAAAGAACAAAATATATTTTGTTTTCTAAAAGGGTAACCTATGCCTTTTCATCACTCTACCTTGATTGTGTTCCTATTCTGGTCACTTTAAATATTTTTAAATTGATTACTCGACTTTTAAAATGCTTATTTTTTTATCATTCCAACGTTAATTATTTAACGGAATTGTGACAAGATATCTATCTATTTAAAATTATAAAAAGCCTCAAATGTTTTTTTTAATTTATAAAAAATATCCTTCAAATCTTCATTCCCAAGATTTTTACCTAGTTTTTCAAATTCCTTTTTATTTTTAAATGTTTGATCATCTTCTTCCAAATCTCAAGAGTGGGGAAGTGAAGAATAAGGAGATGAACAATATATATTGATTATATATTGATCTAACGGTGAAGATTGTAGATTAGATTACGGATAGGCACGGGTCGGGTTTGGTTCGGGTTTCGGCTGACCCGACTCGACCTGAAAAATTTACATCCTCCACCTGATCCAAAAATTTTACATCCTCCATCCTACCTGAACCCGATACGATTTTTTGAGATAAAATCCGAACCTGACCAGACTCGAAATAATATATTTATTAAAAAAGTTATTTTTATTCAATAAAAATAGAGATTTAATTGAAAAAAATAATATATAGAGGAGTATTATTGTAATTATCCCTAAATATATAAGGTAAAATTATAATTTTTCCCGAGTTGGGTTGGGTTGGGTATTTTCACCCTAAACCCGAATCCAACCCGAACCCAATTTTTTTTAAAAAAATCTGACACAATTGGGTCAAGTCGAAACCCGTCTAATTTTGATCTCAGGCCCATCCCTAAACCAGATTCATTTTTATTTGGTTTTTATGTTGTAGTTCCACATATTTTAAAGAGATTTTGAGAAAATTTAAACTAACAGAATGATAGGAGATGATAAAATAAGTCTACTAATGTATAGAGTGATCAAAGAAGAAATTAGAGTATGATGATTTCGATAACAGTGTGATAAAATGATGAAACCTTAAAAAGATTTTTTTTTGAAATAGACATGGTTTTTAGAACCGGACTGGTTAGCGAACCGGTCATGCTATCGGTTCACTGGTTCAATCGATCGAACCGGTCTGACTGGTCGAAAGAACCTGACGACGTCATAATTATTTAAAAAATTAAATAAAAATACCAAAAATATTTAATAAAAAATAATTTTTTATATCACAAGTCATATTTTTTTTTAAAAAACAATCTCATATGGCTAAGAAACATAGAAGAGCATCCCAAAAGTCTAAAGAGTAAAAATATGATAACAAAACAATCTCACATTGCTAAGAAACATAGAAGCGCATCACAACTAACTTCTATAAATAATAGAGGTAATTTGGCATTCAAAATCATGGAGCATTTTTGTGAGCATTGAGTGAACTATGCTTTCACTTCAATCAAGCTCGAATTTTAGGCTTCAATCGATATTCTAATTTTTTTTTTGAGTTCAAGCCTTTTTGAGTTCAAGTTTCAATATTATATTTCGAGTTTGAGTTGAACTTGATAATTTTTAAGCTTGTGAATTTGAGTTGAGTTGAGCTTACTTTTAAAGTTTTCAAGTTCGAGTCGAGCTTAGCAATACTCGAGTTCGACTTGGCTCGTTTAACAAACGACGTTGTTTGGTTTAATTTTTTTTTAAAAACCAAAAATCCCGATTTTTTCCGGTTTTCAGCCAGTCTGTTTCGAACGATTCAGCGGTTTTGGCCGATTCACTAATAGCGGTTCAACCGGTTTAGATTGAACCGGACTAAGTAACGGTTCCCCGATTGAACCGGCCGGTCCGATTTTCAAAACAAAGGAAATAGGTGGATGATAGATAGATTCCATTTCAGGAGAAAA